CTCCAGCATCTGCAGTTCCTACTATCTCTAAGGCACTAATTAGACCACAGCTGGAATACAGTGAACAGTTTTTGGGACTTTTATCTAAGGATAGATATACTGGCTTTGGACACTGTCCAGAGAAGGTTCACTAGGCTGATCCTGAGTATGGAGGGGCTGTCATTTGAGGAAATTGGGTCTATACTCATTGGAGTTTAGAAGAATGAGAGGTGACATTATTGGAATATACAAGATTATTAAGGGACTTGATGAAGTAGATGCAGAGAGGTGGTTTCTCCCTTTGGGACAGTCTAGGATCAGAGGGCATAATATCAGAGTAGAGGGTCACCCACTTAAGAGAGAGATGAGATGGAACTTCATCTCTCAGAAGGTAAGAAATCTGTGGAATTCTTTACTGCAGAGGCTGGATTGTTAAACATATTCAAGGTTGACAGATTAAAGGCAGATTTTTAATCAGCAAGGGAATGAAGGGCCATGGGAAAAGACAGGAAAGTGGAGTTAACGGTTTTTTTTTATTCATTGATGGAATGAGGACATCACTGGTGAGGCCAGCATTTATTGCTCATCCCTAATTGCCCAGATGGCAGTTTAAAAGTCAACCACATTGCTGTGGGTCTAGAGTCATATGTAGGCCAGACCAGGTAAGAATGGCAGTTTCCTTCCCTAAAGGGCATCAGTGAATGACATGGATTTTTCCAACAATCGACAATGGGTCATGGTCATCATTAGACTCTTAATAACAATTTTTTTTTAATTGAATTCAAATTCCACCATCTGCCATGGCAGGATTATGTGCCCAGGTCTCCAGGACATCACCTAGGTTTCTAGATTAATAGTCTAGAGATAATACCACTAGGCCATCACCTCCCTTATCACCACTTTATCAGCTCGGCCATAATCTCACTGAATCGTGAAGTAGATTCAGTGAGCCAAATGGCTTACTTCTGTTCCAATGTCTTATGATTTTACAGTCTTATGGACTTGTCAGCCCAGAGGTACACCAATTTGCACAATACCACATCTCTTATGATTGAATTTATGCTAAGTTCCTCTCACCTTTCCAGCTCCTGTTTACACCTATTACTGAAATGCCATATTAGTGAAGAACCAAGCAACACATTTGTTCATTTTATTCACCATTTCCTTATTGTCTACTGTTAGCATGTCATTCACTAAAGTGAATCCACTTTATTTACATAGACGAGAAAGAGGGACTTATCTGTCCTTTCTTTGTTTGTCCTATCTTTGTACAGGAGGCTTAGAAGTGGCTAAAATAATAAAAGGTGAAATAGTTTAGAAAAGTAAAGGTATTTCTTGGTTACATAGGCAAGTCAATGATACAGTGTATACAGCATGCATTTCTCTCAGTGTAAGCCAAGGAAAGTCTACACTGTAACGTACAAAATTTTGCTTGTAGATCACTGAAGTAAGTTTTTTTTTATTAGTGTCTTCCTTTACTGAGTTGTTCAAATTGTTTCTAATAGTTTATTACAGGAAATATGCACGTCAGTGCTGCTCTAGGCCCCAGGAAAGGGCGTGGGTATAAATGGAATTCCAAATGGGAGCTGAGCTAAGATAAGGAAGGTTTTACTGAATGTGCTATTATTATCAGGCTCCTTATCATACTGTTATTAAGTTGAACTCACACAAAAGATTTGACATATTCATTAAAGTTGCTAAACAATACATTTTATACAAATTGAATCATTGTGTGCAGACTCAACCAGACCTAGTGGAAACATCATTTTGTTTTCCTCCCTGCCCTGACTACTATTCCCACCCCCTCCATCACCCAAAAGAAAAACAACCAGTTAAGTATATATAGAGGCTAAAAATTACTGTTGTACTCTTATTTACCCTCTAAAAGACATTAATTGATGCACAACTGCTATGTGAAATACTTAAAACCAGTGACCTAGGTGTGGAAATACCATTCAGCGGTTTATTTTTTTCCAGTGTGTTTTATTTTGTTGGCTAAATCACAAGTATAAATATAAATGACCAGTTGATGTAATGTGGCTTTGTTGCTGCCACTGCGTCATTTCTTTAATTGATTTCAGAATGACTATCAGCGGCAATAGTAAAATTGAAGTCAATGGGATTCAATAGGAGAACTCCCCAGTTGTGAAGTCACTCCTAAGTGTGAAAGGCAATCATCACATTCCCAGGACAATGCTGCAGGAGTCCTTCAGGATAGCAACCTCAATCCATTTACCTTCAGTTCCTTTCCTCATATGGTCAGGAGTGGAGCTGTTTACAGGCAGTGCCCAGCCCCATTCACTTTCTAATAATGAAGCTCTCTCTGCTGGATTACAACAGAACATGGAAAGCATTCAGGCTTAGGCTGACAAGTGGCAGGTACCATTTGTGGTCACTAATAAGGATAATCTCAAAAATCCAGCCATCTCCCTTTCATTTTCAATGACATCATCAATGTACAATCATTATACAGGGATCGCTATTAATCAGAAGATGAATTAGATTGGCCAAAAGAGAGTTGTGGTGGGGGAGGGGGGTGGTGAGGGGGCAAATCCTGAGGCATGGAAAGAAGCAAACAGGCCAGGACCTGGAATATTGAAGCACAAGCGCAGAGAAGTGAAACATACACAACCAGGAACTGAAGCACAGTAGGGTTTGATGAGTGTAGCGTTGGCATGGAATGGACCTGCTGCCCAATCAGATGGTTGCTGCACATCAAAACTATGGCATACTTGGAGGAGCACCAGATGCATAGATACAAACTTTCTCATGATGTAAAATTGTGACAACATAATTCTCTTCTCGAGGCAATTCCCATTGCTTTTTGATCTACATGTATTCTGTTATAGAGTTGTAGAGTGAAAAGTATCATTTTAATTATTTTTAAAAGAAACTGTAGTAATCAAGAAATGATTGTAATGATAGAAACAGTTGGTATGAGTGAGGACAGTTTAAGTGGCTAACATCTGATGTACAGATGTATGCCCCATGAAACGGGACAATGACTAACATTATTCACTTCTTCTATCGGCTATTGATAGGTCAGTCAACCTATGAATGAAATAAGTTAATTTGAATTAATAAACATTGAAATAAAAAAAACTGTAACACGTAAATTTTTATTATTGTACTGCTCTGCAAGGAAGGGTGGGAAAAGACAAGAAAGACTTGCATTCATGTTGCACCTTATCACATTTGCCAAGGTTCCTTCAACTGTACCTCCCAAATATGCAAAGTCTACCACTTGAAAGGACAAGGGCAGCAGGTCCATGAAACACCAGCATCTGCAAGTTCCCTTCAAATCGCACACTATCCTGACATGGAAGTGGTAGAAGTATACGTGGAGCTATTTTACCAATCCTTCATTCTCATTGTATCAAAATCCTCCCTAACAGCACTGTCGATGTAACTACAGGGACTGCAGTGATTCAAGAACTGCAAGTAATTCACCTTCTCTCAGGCGAATAGAGATGGACAATAATGCTGCCTTTTCCAAAAATGCCCACAACTGATGAATGATGTTTTAGAAATCCCTCATAAGTATCCCAAACGATTTCAGACACTGTGAGGAAGGCAGTGGAACGCTCTCAGTTTAGAACATTCTAAGCTGTTGGCAACAAGATGATGATGTAAGAGGAGAGATAGTGCTAGAAATATATTTGCTGTGCTTTCTAATAGTTGGTTGCAGTTAATGTGGAAGATTGTGCATACCTTTAAATTAAAATTATATTTTTGGAATTTTCCTTTCCCTCATCATTGCCCAGTGTCATGTAACATTTCCCAGCTAAGAGAATGGAAATCTGGTGGCTGGTAATGATAGGTAGGGAGGAGGAGAGAAGCTGGTGATCATAAGGCAGTTAAAATGGGATAGGGAACTTACCCACATTTTCCCCACTCCAAACTAGCTGCCTGAAATTTGAGATCATAGCTGGCAAGTGAAATAACTCCACGAGGGTATCCCGTAACTAAGTCACCCTTTATTTACACATAAACAGTCCTTGACTATAACTCTGCCTCATATACAGTCAGGCACCAGAGTGTCAGTATCGCTGATGCTCAATCTTTTTATGCCAGCCAGAGCTCCCTGATTGGACCAGATTAACAGCCCCAGTCAGTGAACTCATATTCTGTGAGGTCCAGCTAGCTGACCCCATTACAATCACTACACCAAGGACCTTCACTGCAAGCCCTATGCAACTCCTACAATGTCACTGGGTCATATTCTGTTATTTGAACCTTAGGCCTAAGCAAGGGAGCCATGGTGGCCAACCCTTCTGGGAATGGGGTTTAGGGGCCAGAGCACGATAAGGTAGACTCTTCAATACCTTTACATTTTAATAAAAACTTTATTAACCTAACAAGTGTATTTAAACTAGTTCTTGAAGAAATCAACAGACAGTATGCCACTCATGCTTGGGTTTTCTTTTATACTGTGATACTCCTGTCATTTAACCATGTTCTGATCTGTTCTTCCTAGGTCCAAGGCTGTGGAAATTACTTCAGCAGTGGATTCTGCTACAAGCAGTTTTTTGGGGTCCAGAGGCTGCAGATGGCGTCTGCCTGTGTGATGACAATGTTAATTTCAGGACTTTTAAAGTTAGCCAGGTGAGAGAAGAATGTTGCTTAAACTTCACTGGTTCTTACATTGGCAGCCTCCAATGGGATGTCTTCACAAATTTGTCAGGAATCAAGGTCCTGGACCTCTCAAATTGTAACATTTCTGACATTCACAAAGTGGATGAAAACCCAAGTTCTCTGGAGACTCTATACCTCGATCACAATCAGTTAGAACAGTTACCTTCTAATTTCATCATAAATGCACCCAGTTTAAAGATTCTTCACCTGGAGAAAAACCATCTTCAACAGTTACCAGAGAACATTTTAAAGGCTTCAGACCAGATTCAGGAGCTGTACCTAGATTCCAACAATTTAAAATCTATACCTTCAAGTGTCTTTAAACCAAGCCTCATGATATTGTCTGTTTTCAATAACACCTTGGAGTGCACATGTGCCTTATATGATGGCTTGGCAAATTATATTACTAAAAATCTAAGCATCAGTGGATCAGAAAATATGATTATGTGCTACACACTGACGCACCCTCAAGGTCTGAATATCATAGACATTCATCGCTCAGATATCTGCCGTTCCTATGGTCTCACGGCTCTCTTTATTTGCCTGCCATTGCTTGCAATTCTTGCAGTGGTGTTATGTTGCTACTGCTGGAAAAGTAGAAGGTCTGATTTTAAAGCCATGAGACAAGACAGTCAAATTTGCACCATCGAGAAATCTAGCTTTTCAAATGTAGGAGATCATCATTATATAACTTGCAGGACTCCAGAGACAACTCCCATTCCCACAGGATATGAAAACAGCATTCTCGCCAGAAACCAGCTTATGTTACGTCCTTCAACAGCATTGCTGGGAAGTAATCGTGACTTGTATGAAGAAGTGGAAATTAAGCCAAGTGTTTCTGTTGACTCAGTCACATGTGTTAATGTATCCAATAATAAAGTGGAAGAAGAAGATGCAGTTGAGGAAGTCCATGCTGAGCCAGTGCTGGTGAACGTCACAGAGGAGTTACAAGAGTCAGATCATCAAAGGATCTACATGAATAAGTCAGCAAATTACTACAATCTAGTTCCTGATATTGAATTAGATGATTCTGATCATGGTGAATATGAAAATATCGATTTGTCCTAAGTGACGTGGGATAATTTGTATAGGAGACTTCACGAAAGCCAGAGTCAAACATTTGACAGTATGCAAGACTGCCTTGGGCTGATGAAGATGGACTGTATTTTAGCACATTTATGTGAAGATTAAAAACAGAATAATTGATGTGGGAGAGACACATTACTGAGGTTAAAATATAGGCTTACCATTGGGATAATGCCAATAACATTATAACTGCTCGTTAATATACGGGATATCAAAGTAGTGTTTTCACCTAGGTCCAAGATGTAGTTCAAGTTTAAAGTTGCCATTCTATCAAATGAGAAGCAAAGTTCTGGCAAATAAATATAGAAAGAAGTCAGGGAGTCAAAAGGGAGAGAAAAGATCCAAAAAGGTGTATGTTCTAATATTTTCCTGATAACTTTGAATGTTTTTCAAATATAATCCAATTGGAAGTATGGACTGTCTTTATGACAGGCACCAATAGTTCAGTCTAGGAATTTGAATCTATTTTACCCTAACCCACCTGGCAGAAACTGAGTGGGTTTGGGATGAATGCTAAGTTTATGGCCAATCTGATTGAAATTAAGGAGGGCAAAATTAGACCAGGCATATTTGAATTCACCCATAACTCAAGTTAAGATTAAGATAGAGCGTCACCAGTTTGATCAGAATTCTATATTTTGTTTATAGTGGCTCATTGTTAAATTCAAACAGCCAGTACAGGACAGAAAAGACTTGTCTTCTAATCGTGTCATCATTTCTTATCTCTTTGACAATCTTACTTGCAATATTTTCTGACAGGCATAACTGTCTGTTCAGCTGGTTCAACAAGATGTTTGGAATGAACCTCCAGCCTGTCCTCAGGTATATGTCAAGCAAGTTTCATGAATATATGTTGTAATGACAGAACATTAATATTCAGTGCTTGGATAAAGTACTGAATATTAATGTCCTGTCATTACCAAAGTCATATTGGACAGAATATTGTTTGAAACTAAAGAAATTGTGTCCATCAGACCTTCTGCCATGCCACCCTATCACTATCAAAATGACAGGTAGACATTCTACGTTCACAATTATAGCAGGGAAGCAGGGCCACATACCAGTTTTCACCCAAGCCGCCAGCACCCCCAGGGATACTATGACAAGTTGTTGGCAGTCCTTAAGGTTGTGATAGAAACTCCCTTTGGAAGGACAAAGCCCAGTAGTGGGTCACCCCTCAGTTACCAAAGCCTTACATTTGTTAGGTAAGTTGCCCTCTTACCTTCAGAATCCTGTGCCCCTTTCAGATGGGCTGTGCTTCTTTACGTACTGCAGCATAGCCTCACCGGACAAGGCTAGTGCAAAACATTTCACATTAAATAAAAGGAAAGTGCTGCAGATGCTGGAGATCTGAAATAAAAAGAGAAAGCACTGGAGAAACTCAACAGGTCTGGCAACGTCTGCAGGGAGAGGAAGTGAGTTAAAATTTCCAGACAATACGATTCATGGATCAGTTGGGATGCGGCCCTGAAAACATGCAACCTAGTGAGAACATTTGGTTGAGAGATTGCCTTCATAATGAGTGAGCCTCTACCTCTACATACCAAACAATCCCAAACCACAATATTCGGCTAGGGTCATGGTAAGGTGACTGCCATGTGAATTTCCTCCTTAACCCTGTTGGGGTTGTAAAAAGGCTTGAAAATTGGCAAAATTTTCAACTATGGAACAAACTGAGCTTTATCCTGCCTTCAACTAATACCCCTAGACTTTCCTATGGCATTGTTAGAATTGCCACAGGTAGAACTCTTCCAGTTGTTTATTCCTCCTACGCCAGGGTAAAAGGCAATTGTAGCCTTTCTACCCCTTCCTATTGGCATCGGCACTCAAATCACTTGCCTCTATTCATCATTTGATGCATTCACAAAATTGGTAATTGATACCCTTAGGAATGTGCTTTAAATATACCAAAACTGGTGACACATTAACAGTGTTCAGGCGCCAACAATTGCACTCTAGAATGGTGTTGTGGGAAGGTGAATAATCACCACCGCGTAGCAATTGGTTCAAGCAGTAGTCGAAAAGGAGTTGTATTGTGACCTAGGAGCACTGAATTCCTTGTATTCACATGTAGCGCTATTACTTTTGAATAGTGTGACATTCGATGCTTTCATAAACATAACATTTTATATGTTTTATATAATATTATACTATTGTTAACATTAATGATACTTTACTGTATTTGTGTAGTGAAACACAATGCATAAGTTGGGATTTTCTGCTTCTTTTGTATGTGTGGGGGAATTTGAGAAGTCAGAACAGTTGATCATAATCAAGCGTCCAGTCACAAAGTCAAAACTAAGATCCCACAGCTTCCAGATCCAACAATTTTATGAAGACAAAATGTGATACCGTATTGATAACTTAAATACCTTCAATTTACTCAGTAATTGAGTACTAACACTTGAATCATTTCAGAAGTTAGAAAAGATGTAAACCACTATACATTTAACTTGGACTGGATTCTTGTATGTGTTGTTTTTTTCACAATTAAGAAGAACTATGAACTAGAATGGAGGGACACAGGTTTTAGCATGAGCAATCAAGTCCCTACTGTCTGCCTTTTGATGTGTTCTCTTGCAATAGGTGTTCATTGTATTAAGTCTGACATGATAGCATTGATGTGACTACTATTTTGGTGTGTTGGACTAGGACTGCATAACTGCCCAAAATGAAAGAAAGACTGCATTATTACCACTTAAAAGAACACTCATCCCTTACAATGTTAGTTTCATGGTTGGTTAGATTAATATCTATAATCTGTGACCTTAATTAGCCTATCTTTTTCTTTATTTACAAAACCATTACTGGACAGAAACTTTTCTATTTGCTATGTTACATATTTTTCATATCTGTTTTCAGCATAACAAATGTTTTTTAATGCAATTTATGTTCATAAACTCATCTATATGTTGCAGAGAGATATTGTTTCCTGGAAATCTGACATGATATTCTACCCAGAAAGTATATGCCCTTGCTTTTGAACATTACTTAAATATTTCAATTTTAATCCATGCTCTTGATAACTTGCATAGGAAATAGGAGCTGGAGTAAGCTGTTTGGCTTCTCAAGCCTACTCTGTCATTCAACTCAATCCTGGATGAACTCATACTTCAATGCTACTTTTCCACAGAAGCCTATACTCTTTGATATTTATAACATCTGGAAATCTATTGATTTCTATCTTGGGTATACTTGAAAGCTGGACTTCCTCAGCCGTCTGGGGTAGAGAATTTCAAAGATCCATTATCTTCTGAGTGATGAACTTCGCTTTCATTTTAGTCCTAAATGACCTATTCTTCATTCTGAGACTGTGTGTCCTCTGGTTCGAGACACCTCAGCAAGGCGAAACATCGTTCCTGCATCTACCCATTCGCACCCTTGTAATTTTACAAGAATTTTGTAAGTTTCAATGAGATCACCTCCCATTCTTCAAAACTCTTGAGAATATAGGCCCTCTCTGCTGTACATCTCCTTATAAAATAATCCGGTCACACCAGGAATCAGTCTGGTTAACCTTTGTTGCACTCCATTTGTGGTAAATATATATTTTCTTGGGGAAGGAGACCAAAACTGTACATAATAGACCAGGTGTGGTCTCAACAATGGTCTGTACAATTGTAGCTAGACTGCTTTACTCCTGTACTCTCATCCTGATGCAATAAAGTTCAACATTACTATTTAACTTCCCAATTGCTTGATGTTTGTCAATACTGGCTTAATTTGTAAACAAGTGTGTCACTCATTAACGCCTCAACACAGGGGAAAGAAGATAAATACAGAATTATTTAATATGGTAGTGACACAGAATATAATTTGCTTATCAGGATATGGTATTTGCTGAAGAATGTTAGAGATGTGGATTATTGAGGGTGCACTCGTGTTGGCCAATTTGAAACTGATGTGAACAGTAACGGAGACATTAAGATGAACTCCACCTAAGATCTATTAATATTTTGAAGACCAAAAATCTCTTGAGGAATCGATATCTCACTGCACCGAAGCATTGGCACTGTGTGAAAGTAGCCCTTCATGACTTCCTGCTAACCTTGTTGTTAAAAATAGCTCCAATTTCCTAGTTGATCTCACCATGGAGGTTGCTTGGTATAAGGCAGACTGTAAATGACGGTATTCCTAATATAGGAAGTCCCTCTCTGATCCGGGCACCTCCGACACTGAGACACACAGCCCCTGAGCCCCCCAAATACTGTCCTAATTTTTCTGGGTCCCAGATTTTTTTTTGCCCTCAGTTTCCAAACTGACCCGATGTATTGGTTGCTTACTGATTACATTTCAGCTAACTATTTCACGAAAACTGTGAAGCTTAAAACCTGATTAAAAACTGAAAATGCTGGAAATACTCAGTACGTCAGGCAACATATGCAAAGAGAGAAACAGAGTTAATATTTCAGGTCAAAGACCTTTCCTTAAGCTTGTTAAGTATTTCCAATATTTTCTGTTTTCATTTTGGGTTTTCACCATCCACAGTTTTAGTAAAATAGTTAGTGTAAGGCTGATATCAGACAGTCTACACAAAATGTGATCAAAATGAGGAATGGAATTCTGAATAAATTGCAAATTCATTAATGAACTGTTAGACAATGTGAGGGACTGTATGGACAAATATGCCACGATGAGATAACAAGGTGTAGAGCTGGATGAACACAGCAGGCCAAGCAGCATCAGAGGAGCAGGAAGGCTGACGTTTCGGGCCTATACCCTTCTTCTCCAGCATCTGCAGTTCCTACTATCTCTGCCATGATGAGATGAATTTTTTGATGCTGTGAAATACAAATTCCAAGGATATCAAGCAAAGAACCTTGAAAACCTACAGTTTAAACCACATCCCTATAGTGAAAGAATTCCTGTATGTGTGAATACAAAAATATTAAGTAAGAAAAATTATAGAAATAGCTTCTTGGTTTCTACAATTTTTTTTTGCATTGACAAAACTGTTGAAAAGAAGTAAATATAAGTACAAATCAATAATCTATTTGACAAGAAGAGTGTGATCAAAATTTGGAACACGTCTGCTGTACATATTTAACACAGTGTGGAGCTGGAGGAACAAGGCAGGCCAGAAAGCATCAGAAGAGCAGGAAAGCTGACATTTCGGGTCGGGACCCTTCTTCATTTTCTGAATTTTCAGCTTTCCTGCTCCTCTGATGCTGCCGGGCCTGCTGTGTTCCTCCAGCTCCACACTGTGGTATCTCTGACTCCAGCATCGGCAGTTCTTACTATTTCTGCTGTACATATTTGCCTGGAAAGCATTAAAAAAACCCTCAATGCTTTGTGCAAACTTAACTGTCTTTGCAGTGCATGCATATGCAAATTTTACAATGTAAATTAAACATGCATTGATTTCCTGGAAGTAGCCAGGAACACTCCATGCTAATTCAAGTCACTATAGTCTTACCAGATCATAGGGCTGCTCTCTCATTAGAGAGAGACAACTGGTGGTGATTTAACCTGAGGGCCACCACACCTCAGGCGGAGAAGGTGTCTTTCATGATCACCTCAGCCAGGGTGGGGATTGAATCAATGCTGTCAGCATCACATGGCTTCACAAACCAACTGTCCAGCCCACTGAGCTAAACTGACACTCACTCCATGCTAAAGAACCTCTTTGGCTACTAGTAAGATGCTGAATATCTCCAAGGCGGAGGGATCTCTTTTTGAGTCTGAGATTCACTTTGAAGGTAAAGCAGAATATGGAGAAGGGTCCCAACCCGAAACGTCAACTTTCCTGCTCATCTGATCTGCCTGGCCTGCTGTGTTCCTCCAGCTCCCCACTGTGTTATCTCTGACTCCAGCATCGACAGTTCTTACTATTGCAGAATATGTCTTGCCTTGAAAGTACCCATGACCTTAGTGCTGCTCCTGGGTTGGAAAATGTTCTATTCCCTAATACTGCCACCCATCATATCAACTAAACAGAGACATTTAGCAAAAATATGATAGCAGATAGTTGAATACATAAACTAAAGAGTGGATAACATTGTTCCTCACTGACTGGTTAACGAATGAGCATTTGTTGTCTCCAGGCATCCTCATTGAAGCAAGTATAAACTCAAATTGTATATTTATTTGGACAGAGATCTGTAACTAAAATGTGCATTTTGAGAGCAGGAGAATAATTAAACTGCTGTGGTCGAAGCAGGTATTTGTCATTTCTCTGTGCAGTTTACTTGTGTTCCTAGTTAGCCATAGGAGCAATACAATTATGATGAAGCTTCTTGAAATGAAATGTAAGTAGGAAATTGATACAGAAACCAATGATATGATATAAACCTCCAGTGCATGGTCATATGAATATAAATAACAAGTGGCAATGGTACAGAAAATATAGTTGTAGAAAATTACTTCAGTGCAACTTGCATGAGTAGGACAAGAGGATTCACGTTCAAAGTAGTTAAAGACAGGCATGTGAAATCTGATCAATGCATGAAATGGATGTCCAAATAAAGTAGTTGAGATGAAAATCCTGCAATCATTTAACAACCAGATGCTGCAGTGGAGGTAATTTAGCATTTTTCTAAACAAATGAAAAGATAACACCCCTAATCTTGATTAATTTAGCACATTGTTCCAGGCTATTTCATCTTTAAATAATGATTTAGATGGGGTGGTCAGCGCTGAAGGATTGACACTCTTTGTGGGACAAAAACAAAGTTGCTGGAAAAGCTCAGCAAGTCTGGCAGCATCTGTGAAAGAAGAACCCTTCCTCGGAACTGTTTGTGGGTTTTTGCAAGACAAGGCAAAAGTCATCAGGAGTCCATTACAGTACAACACCGTCTACAAACAACAGTGTGTTGACTTTTACTCGCGTCAGTTGGGTTCAATGTTCTTGGAGGGTTTCAATCCATGAAGCCCAGGTTTTCTCCACCCTTCTCTGCAACTTGCCTCATTACCTTGGGGGAGGCGATGGCGTAGTAGTATTGTCGCACTGGACTGTTAATCCAGAGACCCAGATAACATTCTGGGGACCCGGGTTCGAATCCTGCCACAGCAGATGGTGGGATTTGAATTCAATAAAATATCTGTAATTAAGATTCTAACAACAACTGTGAATCCATTGTTGATTGTTGATTGTTGGGGAAAAACCCATCTGTTTCACTAATGCCCTTAAGGGAAGGAAACTGCCATCCTTACCTGGTCTGGCCTACATGTGACTCCAGACCCACAGCAATGTGGTTGGCTCTTAACTGTCCTCTGGGCAATTAGGGCAACAAATTCTGCCTAGGCAGTGACACCCTCATCCTGTGAATGAATAAAAAACAAAATGTCTCTATGATGCCCACACACCCTATCTTCTTCTCAGTAGGGGCTGTAGTACTCTCAGCTGCCTCCCAGGATTCATGGTGCTGGTGTCAGCCATGCACCAGGTCAAGAGCCACCAATCAGGAGTTGCCTTTCACTGTCCATGTAATGGAAAGGTATCTGAAAGGTAACTTTTATCACAGCATGTTATTTCTTATTCATTCACAGGCAGTGGGTATCGCTGGCTGGGTCACCACCTCATGCCCATCCCTAGTTCAAATGGCCTTCCAATAGCCTCCATATGGTTGTGAATGTTCACTTTAATTCAGCAACAGCAAGTGACACAAAAGCAATTAAACAAGTGTATTTGCTTCTGGGAACAGACAAAAACTTACCTTTTAAGCAGCAACAAATTTACAGTCTATGACTGATCACTGTACCCAGCTACATCTTTTGGAGCCATGTCTCAATTAAGTGCTGTATGTTGCATCCAAATGATGCAGAGGTCTATCAGACAAAAGCTGATGTACCCCTCCACCTGAAATTTCCCCTCGGAGCCATTCACCATCCTGACTTGGAAATATATTCCATTCCTTCAGTGTCACTATATCAAAATCCTCCAACTCCCTCCCCCTCTGGGTCTACTTACATCTACTTACATGGACTGCAACAGTTCAAAAAGGCAGCCCACCATCACCTTCTCAAGGGCAACTAGGGATGGGCAATAAATGATAGTCCAGCTAGTGACACCCACATCCCATGAATGAATTTTAAAATTACAATTGACATAAAGGGAGTGCAGTGGAAGTTGATTTAACTCAATTCTTGTGATGGAGTGGTTGTCCTGTGAGCTATGATGAAATAAAATGAGCTAATGTTCTTTGAAATTTAGAATGATAAGAGGTGATTTCACGCAAACTTACAAAATTCTCTCAGGGATCAACAGACCTGATTGAGGATGGATGTTTCCCTAGGCTAGGGGGTCAAAACCAGACATCACAGCTTCAGAATAAGGAGTAGGCGATCTAGATATGAGATGAGGAAGAATTTCTTCATCAGAGGGTGGTGAATCTTTGGAATTCTCTGCCTCAGATGGCTTGTGAAGGCTCAGTTGTTAAGTATTTTCAAGATTGAGATTGATAGATTTCTACAAATTAAAAACATCAAGGGATATTGGGATACAGTGGGAAAATGATCTGGAAGTAAAGATCAGCTGTGATCTCATTGAATGGTGAAGCATGCTCAAAGGTTTGAATGGCCAACTCCCACTGCTATTTCCTATATTGTTCTGAAAGAGAGAAAGGAGAAATGGGATTAATAGTGATAAAAGAGATGCACATGAATGTGAAATTAACTTTTAATTTCTTTAAAATCTCCAACATTAATTACGTTCTGAAGGATTGACACTTCACACTTGCAAAGCTG